GCCGGGGGGGAGGCTTCATGCCCTGCCCTCAGCTCCCATTGGCTGGTTTCTGAGTAGAGCCATATGAAGTAGCCTGCCACTTCGAGCAGCGTGGAGCTGTTCCATGCCAGAGGGTCCCTGCATGTCAGGCTGTGGGCCCAATTAAAAGCCTTGGCAGGCTGGATCTGGCCCGCCCCTGCTTTGGACAATAGCATATACTGTATTTGGAAAAAGGAAAGTTAAACTGAATGTGACTGATACCAAAGTACTGCTGAAAATATGCTTAATTTGCTCAATTACTTTGGGAATGGTAATATTGCAGTTCATACAAATTAAACTGGTTGCTTATGCATCATAAGTTTGCTAGAAATTAGTGTGGAATCTTTCACTTGGCAAAGCTGTAACATGTATTTTGCTCTTCACAGTAAAGTTCCTGGGTTTGTAAGGATGATTGCGCCAGAAGGCTCCTTGGTATTCCATGAAAAGGCTTGGAATGCATATCCATATTGTAGAACAAGTAAGCTTGCTCTGAATTCTTAAATTTTTGCTTTACTGCTTAGCGATGCTGTCAAGTGGTTTAGGCCCTCAACGTTTTGCAATTGAGTGGAAAATATTTTACAGGGAACTCTGTGGGGGCGGGGAGGGGGTGTGTGTGTGTGTGTGTGTGTGTGTGTGTGTGTGTGTGTGTGTGTGTGTGACAAACTATATATTGTTAGTTTTTAAGGTGCTGCAGGAGATTCCAGTTCCAAGACTTCATTAGTCTTGTACTGGGGACATCATGCACCTAAAGAGCCTGACTAACATCTCTTTCCAAGACCAGGATAAAACCTGTTAGGAAATACTCATTATTTGTAGTTCCTAAATAGAGATGTAATAGTGTAGTCAATTACCTGATCAGGTTACTGATATAGACTACATGCATATTTCTTCCCCCCAGAAGCTGCTGCCACCCTGCACTGCTGCCTTGGGGATGACCAGGCAGCTGATCCATGAGGGGAGCTGTCTTTTTTTTTTTTTTTTTTTTTTTTCCCCCTGCCCTGAGTTGCAGAGTTTTTTTCCCCTCCTT